AAGCTGTGCTGCATGGGCTGGATATGCTGCTGGCACAGAAGGTTGGCCCCAGGTGAGGGTGGCCCAGGTATCCTGGAGGGAGGGTGTAGGGATTCTGGGGAAGGACAGAGGGGTCATGGAGAGTGGGGGCTGAGGTGTGGTGCAGCTTCTGATGCTGTGAGAGAGGAGGATCCCAGAGGCCTTGGGCATTGCTGAGCACCATCTGGGAAGTGGCTTCCAGATGTGGAAGCTGACTGTGCTGGTGACCTTGGAAGGAGTCCACCCGACTCTTCTCAAAAGAATTGGAAGTTGAACAAGGCTGCATACAAAATGTAAAAGAGGGTAGAAAAGGGAAGGTAGGAAAAGCAGGGAAGCAGCTGATGCCCAGAAAGTAGGAAAAAAGCACAAGTAGGAATTTGGGTCTCTGCGTTAATTGTAAGACTTCTTGTTTCACCCACAGAAGATGGAAACTGCAGGTGCAGGATTTGAAGGTGCATGAGGACCTCTGGACTGTGTGGCTGCTCATGCCTGAGTACCATATAACACATGTAGGGACCAAACAGTTGATGACTACCTAAAGACCAGGAAGAAGCAGCTCCTGAAGGTGATGGCAGATCCCACCACAAGTGGAAATCTAAATGAATTCCAAACCTGTCTCTTTGAGTGGGCTGAACAGGAAAGACATTTGGTCCATCTGTGCTGTAGAAAGATGGAGATTTATGAGATGCTCTTCGATACCTTCACGATGGCCTGAAGATGCTAGAGCTGAACTGTGTTCAGGAAGTGGAAGTGTGTGACTTCTTGGATGTGTAACAACTGGCATCATTTGTTTCTTACCCGGACCACATGAGAAAGCTTCAAAAACTTGCCCCCTTTTTATTCTCTAACAGGTACCACAAGTAGCACTGTGGAAAACGTCGATGAGTTTACTCTTCATCTATGGGAGATGAACTGACTCCAGGAGCTCTATGTGGACTGATCCTATTTCCTCAAAGGCCACCTGGACCAGGTACTTGGTTGAGTAGGATGGAGAGCTTTCTCTTCAGACCACAACAAAGATTTTCTGCACTTTATGTACATGAGTGCCCACCTGTTGTCTGTCAGTTACTTGAAATTTAATAGTGACAGGGACACTAGAATATCTGTGGATTGTTCTGTAAGACCGAGGGCCTTACCAAACGCTCTGAGAAGCTGACTGCAGCGAAGAACACCCGGGAAGGAACACACTGGACAAGTTGGAAAGTGAAACAGACCTTTATTAGTCTGGCCAGACTGCACTCCCAAAGCAAAGTAGCTTAGAGAGGCAACTGGCTCAGAGTCCGAAGCTGTTTTTATAGGGGGTCGCAGGGGAAGTTGACAAGCAGAAATACAAAAGTGGAGGAGAGAGATAAAACAGACCGCAGGGGAAGTGGGCAAGCAGACAGAACACTATGCCCACAACAGACCTTCCTGGCACAACAACAAGCACATCCCTGGAACTTGATGTCTACCTGGTGATCCGTAACAGAAGCAGAAAGTTGGAGCCCTATTAAAAAGATGGAGTAACTGTTGTTCAGTCTTACAGTTCTATTCCTGCTGTTCTATTATCTATAGCAGGGTGGGACAGAACCACAAACATCAAAACAGGGATAAACTAAAGTAGCCAATCGGAAAAGGGCATCATGCTAGCCAGCCAGATGTGAGAGTCAGACACTCGGAGGACAGGATTGTCAAGTTCTCCTTAGGAATCTCGGCTAAGGTGAGAGGCCAGGGAAGGGAAAAGAGAAGAGTGAAGACTGCAAATAGCAAAAGAGGCTTTGGTGAAGACTGTGATTGAGTCCCACAAGGGGCAATTCCAGTCCCTGTGGTCAGATCTTGCCTGATTTCTCCCTTCTGCCTGTCTCCTGGCTTAGCCTGAGCACAGGTACAGTGTCAGCTTGGCAGAATAAAGGGAGCTTCAGAGGTTGAGGACTAACCCAGGGACACAAGGAGGTGATGGGACTCAGGTTGATCTGACTTGAACTCTTCCTATTTTGGTGATAATAATACACAGTGTAATCACTATTGTTATTCTTTTTCAATTTGATTATAAAATTTTGTTTTATTTTTTCACAAAATAAAAACAAGAAATAAAATTGACTGTGCTGATTCTGTGTGAAACACTCTTGACCTCCTGGGCCCAAGTGAAGCCAAACACCCTTCTTCCCTCAAGCGCACTGTGCCTGGGGGAGATTTGCCATGATATCTTTCATTGATCTGCTCATTTTCATTTCTAACCTCTACCCTAAGAACTGTCAAGTCTTCCCTCCCAATTTTTTCCCACATTCCCAGGAGTTTAGGTTGTCCTGGGTCAGTCTCAGAGGCTCACGATGGAGGTTTCACCCTACATGCTCAGCGCCCACCTTCTCATATGGTTTGGGTCTGGTTCCTTTGACCTGAGCCTTGAGGATGAATCCCAGGCTTACAGTTTTCCTTTTCTTCTTGAGACTCCTTAAGACCCAGAAGACTAACTATGAACCAAAGTCTCTGTCTTGTTTATGGTGTAGGACTTCTCAGTTTACTCCAATATCTCTGTCCTCAGTTGCTCCAAAGCTAGTCCCTGCTAGCACCAAGACAATACTATCCCATCCAATGTCAGCAAGTAAACGTCTTTACTCCAATCCTTGATATAAGGGGTATTGAGGAGT